ATACCAATAAAATACACAATACTCAGCTTAGCTTTCCATTTGTGGCAGATTCAAGGTTCTCACTCCCCCTTAATTTTTGATAAATGCAGGTGTAAAATTTCATCCCTCAGCCCCAACCATGTTCGGGCTGAGGTGGTCTAGAATCTTATCTGCAAAGGTTCCCAGGCCCCTCTTCAATTTCCTGAATCTGCCACTAGTGGCAGATATTAACGATGGAAGGAGTAGAAAACTTAATGTTACTTTTTTTAAAATTTCAGTTCTTTAATACAGTTAGTTACATTATTGGAGGACAACTATACAGCCTTCAAGACATTGAGAATGGCGTTCTACGATCAAACCGAAAAGGAGTCGGCATGTTATTTAGACCGTTTGGTAAGGATGATCCAAGGTTAAAGGTCGCTTTGGAGAAGCCAGAACCTCTTATCCATTTTGCGCTTGTCTGTGGAGCTAAAAGCTGTCCACCCATCAAGACTTACTCAACTGATGTAAGTACACATGACTATATGGTTCCTTTATAATGGACCATTCTGCTGAGCCCCTGCAACACACAGAAGAATGTACTGTAATAGATATTCTTAATGCTTAATGTGGTTTACCTGTGATAGCTAGGGGTCAAGAGTCAAGGAAATGCCAGGTACTCTCGAGGGCCAGGGGTGAAGCTCCCTAGAGCTGTAGAGAGTGTATTTTGGATTTTATTTTCATTTTGATGGTATTTCATGCAAGGGGAAGGGATAGTTTGTTTTATCAAGTATTTGTTTGAAAAATAAAAAACCCTGGTTATGAGCCTATTACAACATTGAAATTGATAATTGCTTATTGCTTTCCTCAGGGCCTTGATAATCAACTGAAACTGGCGGCTAATGCGTTCTTGGAGAGCGACGACGGTTGTCAAGTTGACCTGCAGCGTAAGGATCTCAAGCTCAGTCAAATATTCACCTGGTATCGAGAAGACTTTGGTAGAAGCAACGATGAAGTAAGCAATAAAATATTTAAGTACAAATCATGACAGTTTCAGCTGGGCACAGCAGCAAGACAGTGTGTCAGGTGAAAATTACAATATAGAACCCACACAGAACATGATGTGACTGCAAGAGCATAAAGAATAGGCCTATATGATGTTCTATTTTTTCTACTGTTTCCAGTGGAAACCAGTGTTTGTGTTCATTTACGCTCATGTCAGAAATACTATAAATGTTTATTGATTTGTTTGTTTTGCAGGTTGCCTGTTGGGTTTTAAATCATTTAGCTGCAGGAGATAAGAAACGAAAACTGAATGAATTAATAGAAGGGAAGACATTTAAGATTTCTTACATGAAGTATGATTGGAGTGTTAACTCAAAAAGTTGAAGACTTATGTGTTTTACACAACTAACCATATGTTTTACAACTGGATTTGATTATTGATGATTCAAGATGGGAACATAGTTCCATAGTTGTTGTATCACTGAATGAAGAGTGTTAAATTAGCAGCCAAAGCTTTTAGTCATCTTAATCAAGACTGATAGCTAATAACATCTTTAATTTCATAACAGTGTTATTTGGGTATTCTGCATGTTGTTTGGTGTGGTCAAGTTGTTCAAAACTGTCCAAGGTATGGTATGGTGTAAAAAATAGCTGGGATTTGCCCATATATGGGTATCTAATGATATATGGGTATCTAATATATATATATATATATGGGTATGTTATGACATCATTATGCCCATATATGGGTATGTTATATTACATTATTTGTTACAGAAAATTATGTGGACGAAGCCAAAGAATATCAGGTAACTACAGGCCATAAAGTTTATCGCAATTCCAAGCCGCAATGCAATATAGGGATTGAAAAGGGGGCAACAGCGTCGCTTGATCTCTTAAGCAACCATGAAAACGCTGAATTTCATTTGCGTTAGCCATTATTAGGGAATAATGTGTTTCTGTTTTGGTTTTTTCCTGCAGTTTTCAATCCCATCATTCTTGGTTGTGGCGTGCCCTCTGTTGATATTTCTCGATTTGTGATAAGGTCTTTGTAATACTAAATTTGTGCATTTTATAAAGATACTGTAATCATCATGGTTGGAAGCACAATATATATTTTTTCAGACCTGATTATAAATGAAAGGGTTACAACTGAATGCATTTAATAATTGTAAAGTTTTCGGCAAATAGATATTTTAAACCATTTATAAAATAATTATTCAGAAATTTAACAATAAACATTAAAATGCTATCATTCAGTTCAGCTCTGATTTGTATAATATTTAACATTTAGGGATTTTATGTACTGTACTGTACATTGCCTTTATTCTATCATTTATTATTAAATTGTTTCATTTTTATTAACTAACAATTGACAATTAACAATTTCTGAAAGGACCAAATAAAGTGAAAATTCTAATATTACTATTTATTCTTCACATGTTTATTAATGCAATACAAAAAGGATCCAATAACAAAATATTCTGCAATTGATTCCATAAGAATAACTATTATTGGTTTTGGATGTGCCTGTTCATTAAAAAAATTTACAAAATAATAAAATAAGAAGTATACAATTACTCAAATATTCCATGTATTAATACATACAGAACCATGACAAAGACTAATCTTAAAGCTGGGAACACACTGCGCTGTACGACCGTCGGCTGACACACACTGCGCTGTACGACTGTCGGCTGACAAGTTCAAGTTCTCTTCCAGTGAGTGCTAGAAGATGAAATGCTGATTGTCGGTGGCAGGCTGAACAGATTCTCATTAAAAATTATTTTGTTGCGTTTGAATTAAACAGCAATGGGCGCAGTGAGTACTCCCCTTCAAACCAACAAAGCAGAACATAAAAAAACCCAATATATAATTACTAGTATATTGCAAGCACAGTATACTAAAACATTGGTGTAGTAAACCAAATTATACATTAAAAAATTATCTTTCTGGATAAGCCTGGAAAGTGGTTTCAGTACCAAAAGCACCCAAAGTTCATATTTCCCCAAAAGTGTAATGGTAGATTCCACAGCATAGGATGTTTTAATTGTGACGAAATATCTGCAGACCAAACCATCGCAAAAATAGGAAGCAAGCAATGACTGGTATGGTAGCGGGCACTAACAATGCATAGTAGCAGAAAGTTCCTGGTTCAAGACTGTCATCTGTCATATTCTAAATGAAAAAAGATCTTCAGATGTGTATAAGAGACATGTTTTGGCCATTATCTCCGAAACATGATTTGCGACGAGTGACTGGTTTGCCTTGTTTCGAACACATATACAGTATTAATATAATTGTATTCATTATACTTTTTGATTTATAATTTAATGTAAAGTACACAGAGGCACTGTGCATACGCTATACATAAATGTAAATTATTGTTATTGGTACTGTACTATAGTAATATTAGGCAATATTATTCGTAAATAGTGTATCCATACACAACAATACAATAATATTCCAAATTATAAAAGACATAATAGTAATCAATAAATTTATGTAATGTGTATTAAAAATAATATCAATACTGGTGACACTCTCATAGGCTTATTAAATTTACCCTATGAAAATCATGCATACTTACTACTGTATAGTATAGAATAGGCAATATTATTAGTAAATAGTGTAACAACACATAACAATACAATAATAATGTTCCAAATCATACAGAACATAATAATAATCAATTAATTTATGGAATGTACAGGTATATGAAAAATAATATCAACTACTGGTGACAATCACATAGTGTAACTCACTTCATGAAAATCAAGCGTACTCTACCACGTCATGGACGTTGAAGTGTGGGCTGAGAATGATATACTTGGCCTAGAAAAGAATCATGATGAAGCCGTTAACTAGAACACGTCAGGTATGGCAAACACCATTTTGTATTATTTCTCCTGACGCCAACACCCGCTGCTACTTGGGGATCGGTTTCTTCGCTAGCCACCAAGCGCAAGCTCGGTAGTCTAGTGGTTATGACACGAGGCCAGTTCTGGAGGACGTAGGTTTGATTCCCACTCGAATCGTTTGAATGAAAGGTTTTTTCGCAAACATTTGAGAATGTACTGAGCATTCAGTACAATAACACAATAACAAATAATAATAAAGTATACTGTATTTCTATATTTATGCAAATGCCATCGGAATAGAACACAACAACTTACACACACAACAAAAATAAGTGAACTATATTCCATCATTAGATAATTTGCTGCTGCCTGATAGTATTTTAACTACTACTACTACTACTATCTAGGCCAACTCTTCGGGGGTGCAGGTCAACTCGGCCACAAAAAGTTCGGCTACAGCCAACTCGGCCACAAGTCAACTCGGCCACAAGTCAACTCGGCCACAAGTTATTTAATGTAAATCTAAATTTTTGCATCCTTTTTCTTCAATATATGACTGAAATAAATTACACAGTATGTTTTAGTAAAATAGGACCACCACACTACCAAAAGAGATTTGAATGCTAATTTTGCCTATGAATTAAAAAGAGTTATTTATTAATGTGTTCGTCTTCTGTTTACTCACAACATTCTACTTCAACAATAATATTAAACAACAATAACGACAATAAATTAGTAATATTTACATTAATAATACTAATTAGTCATTATGACGATAATAAAGGTGATAATAACAACAACAACATAATAGTAATATTTATTTTAACAAATAGTAATAATACTAGTATGGTAATAATAACGATATTTAAATATCAATTTTAATAACTAATTAGTGATAATAACGATATTGAAGGTGATAATAGCAATAATACAACAATAATAAATTAAAGATAATGTTTATTTTTATAATAATAGTAATACTAATTAGTAGTAATAATAATAATAATAATGATACTTATGATACTAGGCCTACTTAGTAATATTAGGGTAATAATATCGATAATTAAGGTGACAACAACAACAACAATAATATTAATAATAATAATATGAGAAAAATACTAATAAAACGCCATTAACAACAACTTTTTAAATTACTATTATTAAAATTATAATACTAAGACTGATAAATAATAATAATAATAATAATAAAAAATCGAAAATTATTTATTATTTATATGGTACTGTAATAATAATATCAGCAAAAATTTGAACAATATATAATGTTAATGCTAAGACTAATAATTAATATTAAAACTAACGGTAATAAAGACAACAATAATAATAACAACAATGACAACAATAATAACAGCAATAATAATAACAATTAGTACAATGTAGTACCAGTAAATGACTTGTGGCCGAGTTGACTTGTGGCCGAGTTGATTTGTGGCCGAGTTTTTGTGGCCGAGTTGACTTGTGGCCGAGTTGACTGTAGCCAAACTTTTTGTGGCCGAGTTGACTGTGGCCGAGTTGACTTGTGGCCGAGTTGGATCGAATTCCTCTTCTACTCTCTATACTTTAGGTCTAGGCCTAGATAGAGGCCTAGTTAGGTAGGCCTACCAACCTACCTACTAGTATTACTAGCCTCCCTAGCTAGGCCTAGCCTACCTAGAAGAGCAGCAGAGGCGCCCAGCCCAGCTGCTAGTTAGTAGTAATTACATAGGGTGCAGGTCAACTCGGCCACAAGTCAACTCGGCCACAGTCAACTCGGCCACAAGTCAACTCGGCCACAAGTCAACTCGGCCACAAGTCAACTCGGCCACAAATCAACTCGGCTACAAAAAGTTCGGCTACAGCCAACTCGGCCACAAGTCAACTCGGCCACAAAAA